CCATCACTATAGAGGTCAAAAATGAAATATGTTATATTTTTTAGTGAACTCCTATTATACTTAGAAATATAATCTAGGAAAATGTTTCTCAACTTACAAAAACTCCATGTAATATGTAATGTAATGTAATGTAATGTAACTCCAGCGTTGAAATAGGTACATCGTAATTATAATACTGGTATGCTCAAATCTAGAAATTTTGAGGTAAAACATTACAAACATCAAAAGCTTATTTGATTATATGTGAAATTATTAATTTAAATTCATGTGCAATATTAAATGAAATTTAACCTATGGATAAAAAGAGTGAGTAATTAGTTTAAATTAAGTATTTAATTGTAGTTATTAATGTTCAACGTTATTTTATACATAGCTTATAAAAATATATCGGTACAAACTTTTAATTATAAAATGTAATTTAATAACCCTTTCATATAATATTACACTATACTATTCAAATCGTGGAATGTGAAAATATAGTTTTAGTATATTGAAGATTGTTAATTGATTATCAAATTATAAGTACCTAATAATAAATAATTTGTTTTGTTAAACGTAGATAATGTACTCGTATATCATAATAAATAAAAAATGATTGCTTGGCTAATAGGTTATAACTTATTATTATATTTATATTATATTATTAATATTAATATTATTATATATATTTTATTAATTACCTATATGGCTATATATTATATATTATATTAGAAAATGATGTCTGTGTCCAATGTAAAATAATATTTATTATTAAAAAACAAAAATTCTAAAAGAATGAAACAAAAGTGAATTGAAAAAAAAAAAATTCAAAATGAATTAATTTTATAGATTTAGTACACATTATTATTAGCGCATGTAATTCGAATGTAATTTTTAATTAAATGAATTTGTAATTCATTGCATTTGGAAAACAATCATAAATTAATGTTCGAATAATTTTTGAGAGTGTATTGATTTATTAAGAATTAAATTGATAATTTTATTATAACATTTAAAAAAATTCAGCATTTTCATATTATTGCATTTTACAAAATCATCCAAAATTTATTTTTCTTAAAACTCAAAATTATTTAGTTGTGGAATATAAGTAAAGTACTATTTTTTCAGAAATTATATAGCTCCACAAAAGTTCAAATTGTGATTTTTAAAATGATTAAACCATAGTAAAGGATACTTTTGACATTAAATAATTAATGATAATATACTTATTTTATTTATAATATTTTATTAAATAAAAGTTGGAAATTGTCTAAAAAAAAAAATATTAATAATCGTGTCGTGTCGCCCATGAAGCAATCTTCTAGATGAATTCTTATCGAAAAATAACTGAATAATAATTTCGTTTTTTAGTATTATTTTTACGACTTTTCTTGCACTTTTAATTATTTAAAAATTACTCAGATTAATGTACTTTTACTCACAGTAGAAAACGTGAAATTAAAGTATATAAATGGTTATAGAATTTATGAATTTTACAACAACGCTATAAGTTAAAAAAAAGCTGTTAAATTTTTAATTTTTTTAATAAGATTATTAAAAAAATAAAATAAACATATTTTAAAAATCATTCAGAATGATATAAATATATAAGAAATAAAAATAATTTTGTCATAATGCACAACCGTATAATTAATAATATACTTATTTTTTTATTTTTTTGTAGTATAATATTAGATTCAATAATAAATTTAAAAAAATTATAAGGATAATATGGATATCAAATCACATAAAATTAAAATTATACATTTGATCGAGTATTGGAGTTGTGACGTTTAGAATCAAATGATAGTTATTATAGAGTAAAAAGAATTGCATTTAAAGCATGAAATCGTAAGTTTATTTTGTTTATGAAGAACTTTTTCATGCATTCTGTATCATTTTAGTAATTTGATTATATTATAAAATATTATACACAAGTATGTTTAATTTTTTTTGTAAATTTTTCTTATTCTTTAATCGTTATTTCTAAAATTAACGCGGGGGGACGTTAAGCCAGTCTAAAAATATAATGATTTGTACTTATTACATAACAACCCGTACTGCATACGTTTCAGTAATAGTGATGTATTAAATTTAGAGGGCTTTTTTAAAAAAAAGTTTGAGAAACACTGGTGTATTTGTCTAGACGTAGGCCCTGATTTACTTAAGTGCAGATGGAGCACTTGCACTTGGCCCCCCAATTTTTGCCCCCCTCCTCCGGTCCCGCAAGTTGTAGAAAATTGTATTTTTAAATTAATTCCACAAACATTTATTTTTGTAAAATGTAATACCAACTGTCAATGTTCAGAGTTCAATATATTTTTATAATTAAATTGTCAGTTGAATTTCGGTTATTTTTATCATTCCACACCCCAGTTCTAATTAGTTACCACCACAAAATATTTAAATAATAATAATAGAAAATTATTTGAACATCGGAAATATTTGATACCTAATAACTATTTATAGATTTATTCGAGCCCAGTATTTACAGATTTACCCGTCATTGGTGCCGCTATGAGCATATACACTTTTTTTTTATTATCAACAATTCCCCCATCAATGTAGATTTTTTTGACTTGGGATACCTCAAATAAAATTGTGCATTTCGCCCTAATTTTATTAAATCATGCTCTGTCTAGACGCTTGTGACCTTGTGGTTTAACTTTAGAATTGTAAATTTTTCTAATTTACAAAATACCAATGGCTTTCTAAAAGACGTATTTATATTTTGATGATTTGCAGACTTTGGAGCAACTTAACCCTAGACTATGGCAAATGCATGAGTTATCTTCCTTCCTAAATGACACCACTGTATGAAAATATCTAATTATGAATTTCTGAATTTTACTCTTATCCAATTCTGAGAAGTTCAAAAAAGAAAATAATTGACTTTTTTAAGTTAAAATAAAATTAGTAAAATACTAATAATAAGACTTAGGACTTATAGCACTTAGAAACATGATAATAAACGATAAAATATGTACTAAAATCTGCTAATATGTGCATTAAAAACAAAGAAACATACATTGAAAAATAAAAATCACAAGAAAAAAAAATAAATATTTTTAGTTAATAAAATGAAGTATAAAGATTATCATATAGTATTAATTTTTCTGTTGGAATGAGCAATATATTTTTTTTTGGTTCAATAAATAATGTTATGTTAAACAACAAAATAAAACTTGAAATTAGCAGGGTATTTAACTCATGGCAACGTTTTCACAGGTCAGCTAATGTTCGTCTTTCTTACACAATCATAGTTCACAGCTTATTGAAGTTACGTACTTTAAAGTAACTCGATCATATTTGAAGGAGTTGAATATTGTTGTATAAGTTCTGTAATGTTGAGTTCCTATAGCGGTAATTTTGTAAAAATGCTTTGGAGAATCACGTTGATATACAATTTATGTAATGATCACATAGCTCTTTATGAAATGTTTATATCAAAATTATTAATTATTAAAGATTCCGAATTAATGAAAACTATAATCATCAAAAATATTTGATTATTACTGTAATAATATTTTTATTAATACTAATATTGTACTCATATTTTTATAAATAATTTTTTATTTAAAAAGTATCTATTGTGTTTGTGCAGGCTTAAATAAATAAATTATAACTAAACAATATATACATATACTAATATTTAGATGTAAATGTTTTGGAAGTTACAGTATCCAACACAAAGAATCAGGTTTTATTTTAATGTTATAAAATAAGTGACTTTAGGTACAGTGGAGCATCGATTATCCGCACTAATTGGGACCGAGGGGGTGCGAATAATCGATTTGTGCGGATAATCAAACAACCATTGAAAATTGTAATATAAATTTAAAAATAATTTGTTAGATATAATACTAAATATAATATTTATACATAATATAAAAAATTACATATATTTATATATAATATAACATTATAGTACACGATGTAAAATAACGAATGATAAAACTAAATTAAATTAAACTAAAAATAAATTTGTACTCAAAAATGTTGTAGTGCGGATAATTGACGGGCCGGATAATTGACGTGCGGATAATCGACGCTCCACTGTATGTAGTAATAAGAATCGTAGGTATTTGAAAACTTTACAACTAACGAATAAATGTCGTCAATCAAGAGTTCCAGTAATAAACCTACATAAGTATTAATTGATCCTGTAAACGTCAGTTTTGCGCAGAATATCTATATTGAAATCCGTCTATGGATGAAACTAGGAGTTTCTCGTCTTCGGTTCGTTTTGATAAATGTAATGCAATTAGCATACTATCTACGACTAATTGGCATGTATACCGCGGGATGAATATATCGTGTGCGCATGATTGATGATAATATTGTAATAGTTGTCGAACGAGTGATCTATATTACTTGAGTTACCCTAATCGTTTATAGCCAAGTGATTCCCGTGAATTTTCGTAAACGTCGTGGACGTGTTGCGTATCTTCTGCGTTTCGAATATCACGCGGAAACGTTATTGTGATGTCATATAAATATTGATAATAATCGAAACGAACGGGACGACGAAACGTTGGTGGATCGCCGGCGGCGCTGGTGTACCGCGTGTACGGTGTATATAGAATTTCGCCGATGTGTATATGTATGTGTGCTTGTGAATGCGTGTGTGTATTTGTATGTGTAAGTGTGTGTGTATGTGTGTATTTATGCGCATGCGCTAGTGGAAGTCGTGTACTATTATTATGTACTGCGCGAGCGTGCGCGGACGCGAGTTGATTGAAAATTACGAAAATCACGAAGAAAGAAAGGAGGGAAAAGACCGGGCGTGCTAAGTCCCTGCAAACTATCATAAAATCTATTATCGTTTAGAGGATCTACAAAAACAAAGGCGGTCTTCGCCGTCGAGACCGACTATGGCAGCCGTTACGGGCGGCGCGCGTCGACCAATGCCGTCGCAGCGCAACACACCCTGCCCCTTCTCATTGGTCTACCCGCCGCTGACGGTCCCGTCACCGCGAGGGGTTGCTGTTTTCCAGTCAGCCGATCACTAGTACCCCGTAATTTCGTTAGTCACTTCTAGTTTGGCATCGGGTGACGCACTCTTTCGTTAATCGGACACTCCGGTCATCCCAAACCAATTCAATTTAAATCATAATCATTGTCGTCCGACGAGGATTTTCGCGTTCGGTTTTTTGTTTTTTTTTTTACTTTTCACTTTTTGTCTTTTTTTTTTAGAATATTTCATCGTCCTCTCGCCATCCCCGTCTCCGTCCTTAGTAGTATAATAACAAACGACGATATCCGATCGACGTCACGTCATTGACGACCAAGACGACAACATCAACATACATCGTCATCAACAAATCGACAACAACAATAACAGTATAAGACCACTACCGCCGTGTGAGAGTTTACAAATTGTGGAAGGGTATAGATATTTATTGTATTAGTCGTACTATATATACCCTTCGGCCGGTCTTCGTTTTCGTGTTTTCACCAATTAATCGTCCGTCGGATCGCGGTTGTCGACAAAGCATCGCACACGTACAGTTCGCACCGAACACGCTAGTCATTCGCTCGCGCCTCAATCGCACGCAATCGTCCGTCGCCACTGCCGCCATCCATCCATTCACCGCCACTTGCTCAGTGGCGTCGACATTTTGAACCTCAGCGTACAGTAACGGGCACCGCGATTGATCTGAAAGGTGTAGCGGGTGGTGATCCGCACCACCCGCACAACATTTTCCCCGCACTGTTCTCGAGACAGTTGAACTTCAATAACGGGTCACACCATCACGGCGGCACGGCGCACTCATCAGCGGGTAAGTTTTCCTGTCCACGTGTGTTTACCGATAACTTACTAATGTTATTCATGGCGAATCCGCAATGGAAAATTTCACTTATTAGGGGAAAAAATGTAATTTTAATACTTGTTGACAAGATGTGAAAATTAGTTATAAACCCTAGGTGTAATTATTGTATTTCGATTTATACTATTTTAATTCCATATTATTTGGCTATAAAAACAATGGTTTTCAATTGACTAAGTACAGCCAGTGCCAGATCTAGAAAATTTGACGCCCGGGGCTAATAAGAATTCAATGCCCTTACTTAGGTGGATGTAAGGATATTTTATTTTTCAAAAACTTAAGAGCTCTCTTATATAAACAGAACCTGAGGCAAGCATACCTCTTTTTCTTTTTCCCACTTAGATCCAAGTTTGCACACAGCAAAACGTTACACTGATAAAATTATAAAAGCGTCATACGGACACTGGAAGGTTTGGAAATGGTGAAGGCTGGCTCAAGTTTTATAATTTTTACGAAATATAACCAGTAAACAGGCTATATAGCTCCACCCACATAATCTACAATTATTCTTTCTTCTGACATCTAAAAACAACATTATACTTCTGTTCAATATATAAACGGTTGTGTATCGTAAACGTACCAAATATCATTTTTATCTATTTTCGTACAAATCAAAAACAAGTAAGCCCACTCGAAGAACTTTGCGGTCAACCGCTATACCTTTTGTGAAATATAGTACCGTAATAGTGGTTCATGTGTTTGCGCGCATTCGAGTATATATTATGATAAATTTAATTTTAAAGTAATCGAAACTACTTTACTACTTACTTACTTTATCAAATGTAATTTATGTTTGACTAATAGTTATTTTTTTGTGTTGGAAATGTCGTGGTTATAATGTAGATGTTATTCATCAAACGTACAAATATGTAATAACACTTAATAGCGCTAATGAGTTTAAAAAACGAGAGAATGCTTATAAATATGACGAGTTAAAATATGGAGTTATGCACTGCCATATTATTTGAAATTAGTGTAAATAAAATGCTGTCGGAAGCTTACGTATAAAACTATAATAATAATTCGACGCTGAAGAGTTTTGTTAACTATAATGAAAACGTTGAAATACAAGTTACAATATGATTATATAGGGGATGTAAGACTGGCAAGCGATTTATAGACTAAAAAGAAATATTATACCAATACAATCTGCACGTATGTCATTTACAGAAACAATTGAATAGATAAATATTGTTAAAAAATCATAACGAATATAAGTAAATGACTTTAATTCATAATATACATAAAAACATTATAGTTTTACGTTTCAAAAAAAACCTTAAACATTGAAATGGGGACTATCGGTGATGGTATATTTTATGGAAGATAACTATTAAAATATTAATCGGCAATTTCACGAGTATAATTCGAGTTAGGGCTATGAAGCATAACACGAAGCTATATCCATTTTAAAGCCTGATAATTTTGAATTATTAATAATTTCAAGACTGAAAGCTTGCAATTATTCATAATTTATATTTAAATAAATTTACAGTATATTTAAACAATGATGTATAGTAATTAACAATTCATAATATTTTCAAGTGTTACTAATATACAATAATTACAGTTTTATTGCAAAATTTAAAGGTAACTTCAAGAGAACTTTTGGGCTATGTTATTTTACGCCTTATATTTTACTTTTAATAATCACAGAAAAAAAATAGTTAAAGCTAGAGACATAGAAAATGCAGAGTGATAGAAAAAAATAATAACAAACATATATTTATACTATTTTAAACAGACGAATAACCAGTCTTAAGAATATATCTTTGAACTGTGCCAACCTGCAATAACATTAGTTAATATTATTAAAAATGTTCTGTGTTTGTATCAACTTTAAAAATGACCGGTAATAGCAAATATTATTATTCTTACTCGATAGATATTTATTTTAAGTCGAGAGCACAGATAATATGCACTGTCTACGCAACTCGGTATCCGAGCAAGTGACTTCTATTTTCTAGTACTGTGCTATTCAAATGTTTGCTATGGAGACAACAATTGAACAACAATCGAACATTACAATGTGGCCATTTAAAAGTCGTAAATTTGGATTGTCCATTATCTACATTATAAGAAACAAATTTAAACTAATGATAGTAATGGCAAGACGATATTTTTGTTTTCCTAATAAAATATCCGGGCAAGGGTAGACTGACTTTTCTCGCCCACCGGATTACACCAAAGCATATAGTTATACATATTTCAAGATGGGTCGATAATTAGAAACAACCTGCCCTATAAATATGCGATACATTTTCGTTTCAGACAAGTTATCATTGCTTGTCCAATGTAATATTCAAAGTGAAACGGGACTGAACAAAATTTAAATTTTAAATCTTATATGTCAATCGAGAGTAAAAAATATACATGAAATATCTTTCGTAACCATCTAAATGTCACAGGATATTAGGGCTAAAGGGTTAAGGTTATTATGGACAGCCGTATCTCGTACCTAATGAGGAATTTTGTACTGTTAGCGCTTGTGACGGATACAGTGAATAATTAAATTAGAGTTTCTTATTAATCCGTTTAGTTCAAAACGATTTGCTTTTATGATAGGAAAGCGATAGTTATCATCATAAGTATGAATGAGTAAATTTCAGTGACGGGTTTAACACTATATCTTGAAAGGCGATTTGATGATATATTTGCCACGAAAAGTGAAATTCAAGATTAAAAAAACCTGTTCTTATACCAAATGCGATTAATTTCTTATTGAACCCTTTCAATGATATAACCTTTAAAAAAAAAAAAAACACTTGATGAACAATATTAAACAAAAATATATAAAACTAAAAGTTCTAGTAGGATACACCACCTTAATTACATTCCTTTCATCGGAATTGCATCACTGGTGGGTAAAACTTTGGTGGATATATCCAGTTTTTAATTATTTTAAAACCTATAAGACGATAAGCATAAAGTAAAAAAAAAATGTACCTACTACAGTAGAATCAGTTTTTTTTGATTGTCCAAAAATTCAATTTATCACATAAGTTTTAATTATTTTTTGTCAATAAAATTATACAATGAATACCAGTGTAATGAAATTGATTTCATAGCTGAAATAATAATTATGTTTTTTAAATATGTTTTATTTATTGAAATCGTAAACGGTTTTTGATATTCGTTACAAACAAAATGTTATATACGTAGAGTACATTTATATTATTTGTACGGGACATAGCAATATTATTAATTATTATAGTTTGGCGTAGGTTACAATAATGTTACAATAATAAAGCGACGTACGATGATAATTTTTTTTAATTAAAATAACTATTCTGTCGTTCTAGGGAAACTCATGATGGATGATTTACGGCCGGGTCTGGGAGGCATATTGGGTTTGATGGATCACGATCACCATCACCATCACCTGCACCATCATCACCCAACCGCGGTGCACACGGATAAGCAACGCGTTTCGAAAGGGGCCAGTGACTCGTCCAACGAACTCGGCTCGTTGTACGGTTTGCCTGTAAATGCGGCCGGGGACTCGTCTCACCATAACACACCTTCTCCCGGGCGAGGATCATTAGCCGACCAGACTGGTACGTAGACGTAGTACGGGTTTTCGATTGCCAATGAAGAGATGATTTAGTATTGGTCGTGCGATTGGTTATCTACCATTAGTTTTCTCGTACCAAGTAAAAATGTTTCGTAAATTATCAATTTTTCTGCTATACATTTATATGTTACGGTAAATTATGTAAGATATGAAAATTACGCAATTAATCGATAATTATCGTAAACATTAACACCAAATGGAAATTTTCGATATTCACCGGTTAATTGCGATATTCATTAAACAAATTGGTAAATGTTATGTATAATACTAAAATTCGACTGTAACACAACTTTTATGTTTTTCTGTTGCATAGTTTTACATTAGATAGATTTCTAATATCTATAAATATGTTTTTGCGCAAGATATCTGATAATCTTTATTTCTTGACATACCTAAATCCATCAAAGAAGAAGAGCTTATTCTTCAAGAGGCAGCTGGTTTGAGCAATATTTCGGGTAGTCAAGGGTACCAACGATGCCACTGCAAAACTAAATCTAAAAAATAATAAATGTGCTTGTCGTTCATCAGGCAAACTTTGTAATTCAAAATGTCATGGTTCATTAATATTTGAAAATAAGTAGTTCTTAATATATGATATAAATACAACAATTACCATTTTTATATTTTTTTTATCATAAACTCCCGGTAATTGATATAAAAATCTTCTCATATAAACTAAAAGTGGATGATAGTAACAATATTTACCGGTAAATTACGTAAATTATTATTTTTCGTCATTCACCATAACATATAAATTTATTATTTATAATATACACAGTATTAAAAGAAAAGATTTTTTGAATATCTACGTATGAAAGTTTAAAATTTCATCCATGATCCAGCTAAATTTTTTATAAATAACGTTTTTTATTTGTTTTTGTATTTTTAAATCCTTTAACTTACCATACACTATAAATTAAATGTTAGAATAAATCTTTCTTTTTGTTCTAATATTATAAGTAGTACATGATATACTTCTAATAGATAGTAAGTATTGTATAATAACTTATAAATGCATTTATTTCACACTTTATATAAGACATTTTAAAATTAATTTAATGATAATTAAATTTAACTCAAAATTCATAGCAACAGTTTTTAAATTTTAAATTATTAGCAACATACATAACCTGTGACTTATTTTTTGCACATGAAACATTATAGAAAATTGCAATTTATATACTTTAAATTTAATCATATTTTTAAATAAATAATAAACTTTCAACTATCCTTTATATTTAATTCATGTTTAAAATTATAGTTTTATTTAAAATTTCGAAATATATGGAATATACCTGTATTTCAGAGAAAGAACCATTTTAAAAATGTATATAAAAACAATATTTTTAATATATTCATATAAGTTTAATTTATGTTTCATAAAAATTTCTCAACTCAGAGATTTTAATTATTAAAATCAAAATTTTTAAAATGTAAACGTATAACTAAAATATGATTGTAATTATAAATAGTCAATTTATAAATATATGACCAATAAAATTGGTATATGCAAATTTACTGTTATTTTTAAGTATAATATTTTAAAAGGTCGATATGATACTGAAAAACAGTCATCCCTTATATCACTTCATGTCTTAGAATTATATTAATTATGTATACATCTTTTAGCGGTTTATTTTTTATTCTTAGAAAAGTAAAAAATATATAAATAAAAAAGGAAAGCATAAATTATATAGTATTTAATTTTTAATTTCAGCATCAGAAGGCGCATTTAAAAAATTGAAAACAGAACCATTGACATCAGTAGGTAGCATAAGTGCTAGTCATGCCGGACACACACCTACTACGGCGACATGCCCTACTCCTGCCAGAAGAAGACACCGCACGACTTTTACTCAAGTAAGTAATAACATTTAAAAATTATACCAATGGTCATAGTTTACAATCCATACTTATACTCTGAGAAGATTTTCTATATTGGGACCGTCCATATGTTTCCATGTTCTACACTGTAGCTAAAGTGTTGCCTTAATTTTTTTTATGTACAAGTCACATCACTATCGCTCTTCTGTATTTCTATGAAAAATGTTAAATTCTGTATTTATCGTCACTTTTATAGTTTCTAAATTAATTATACGAAGTATATTTTAAAAAGACACTTAAGAAAAATCCAACCGTTCACCAATAATATTACTTTATAGACGACTAGATACACTACATCAAACACTGTTACAATGTTGTTAACACAAAAAATGAATACACAACTAATAGGTAAGATTATTTTTTTATTACAAAGCAGAATTGATAAAATATAGGTAATTCTCATTTTAGCGTAATGATAATTCAAGTAAATATAAAACAGCAATAATTGTTAATTTTCATCATTCGAATAAAATACATTTTACAATTGGAATAAATATTTATTTTAATTGAAAATTAAGAAAAAAAATCATGTATTAATCAACAATTGAACAACTAAATTTTACCTTAACGTTAGTTTATCTAGAGTATGAATATTAGGTCAACCATGTTTTCATGGTTTGAATTCGAAAACATTTTTAATTTATTAATACTAAGAGTAAATCAAATTATATTTAAACTAGCCATAAAAATAATTTGATACAAACTTACATATTATTTGCACATTTATTAACTTTTAATATTATATTATTTTTTCAGGAACAACTCGCAGAACTTGAAGCCGCTTTTGCAAAGTCTCATTATCCTGACATTTACTGTAGGGAGGAATTAGCAAGAAGTACAAAACTCAATGAAGCTAGAATACAAGTAAGTTCGTATAAAATATTGAAGTATCGTCATAATATATCTGTAGTTTATATGAGTATACAACTAGGGAATGAAATTGTATGCATAAAACACATTATTTTTTGTACAGTGCTCTGGAACAATATTATCAAATTGAGATATTTGACACATTTATCAAGATGATAATATTATTTTATTTGTCAGAGTATTTTTAAAATATTTTACGAATTTCTGAAGTGTATCGATTTAATAAAAACGCTCATCCACGGATTGCTGCGCTTCATTGACTAAGCAATAAATGCATATTGATTGCGCTAAATCAAAACATAATTGAATATAATTTCGTCATTTTGATGCATTCTTAGATATTTATTACATGATTAAATTCCGTTTAATAAATCAATTAATAAATTGATTTTAAGTAGCAATTTTTGAACGCATTGATTTAATACGGTAAACTATCGGAGTAGATCGAACGTGATTCAAGAATTTTCATTCGACAATATTTAATAAGGTTGAAAATACTGCTACGATAATGATTAAACTGTACGCAATGACAGGTGCAATTATGAAGCGTTTACGTTATTTTACATGTCAACTTAAATATTTGGTGCACTTCTTTACTGTTATTATTATTATAATTGTTGTGATTTATGGCCGCGTAACGAAATGACTTGCCGAATTTTAACTGTATACGTTATTATTCACACCCACTAATTAGGCAACACTACACGAAGTTTTCATAGTGGAAAAGTTGCAATCGGCATGCACGATGGAGCAGCGACGCGACGGGTTAAATAAAAAAATATGTTATACCACACGATAAGTTACAGCGCGCGTTCGATCGCACTGCAGGCATCGAGACGGCAGAGTGAGTCACTACTAGCTTCCCCTCGATCATTGTACCCAAGAACATCACACAGGGACCACTGTAATTGAATTTATCATCCAAAATGTATTTCCGGGCACATAAAGGGATACGTTTTCCCTGCAGGGTTTTAAAAGGCCATACTTTCCCGAATATTTTATGTACACCATAGTGATAAAATGAGTTTGTAATGACTTGAAAAGGGGAGAGAATGTTTTTGCATTGGACAATGACGCTGTTCTAGGTATGGTTTCAAAACCGAAGGGCCAAGTATAGAAAACAGGAAAAGCAATTGCAAAAGGCTTTAGCCCCGCCCTCTATGCTTCCCGGATGCAACGGGGCCGCCATGATGAGAAACATCTACCCTTCGGCATCCAGAACGTATCAGGCGTACCCGCACCCGAATAGCATGAACAGATACCATCCACAGGTAACGTTACACCATTACTTTTACATAATATTGAAGTTCATTAAATATTCCAGACGTTGCTCTTCTAATGACGGCGTTGCCGTGTATACGTATTGTGTTCGCGTGCACATTTTAATACGACTTATGATTAATTTATACTAAAAATCGTTTCTAAAACAATGCGTTTTCAAAAAAAGAATCATTCACCTAGTTCAAATGATTGTTCAAAGCATGTTATCCGAATTTGAAACTTTCTATTTAGTTTACTATTTCATAGTGTTTTAATAAAATTAAATATTAAAACTTGTTATTTAAATTATCATAATTCATATACCTACTCGTGATTATAGCAGTCTAAGTATTTCTTTCAAATTATCAGAAATATCGTTTAGTTTAGTGCCCATACAAAAATTGCCAAGTTAGATAACGACCAAAACACAAATATTAAAGCTTATGAATTTCAAGTTTTTTTTTAAAAAACTATACAAGTTTCAGAGTATATTTTGTCTTACTTGACATTTGTCATCAATACTTTTTCAAAACAATTACTTTTTAATTGTTCAACTATAACGCTTAAGTTTTTGGGTGATCTGAATGTATTGATTACAATTTTATTTTAACAATGTTGTGTAGATACGCAATCAGATTCAGATAAAATACATTTTCCAACAACTATAACTAATCTTATATTTTTCTAGTTTTTGGTACCCACTTATTTTAATATACGTTTAATGTTATATATTGGTGTATATTGTTCGATGGTTATATACAAAATCATATTTCTATAATTGGTTTTCACATTGTTAACAAAAGAAAATTGTCTATTTTTTCTATAATTACATTCAAAATAATTATCGTTTTTATTTTCTTAATCTAAATTACATTATATTTCTAAATCCAAATATACTATAACGTGGCACATGAAAAAAGCTGGTATTTTTTATTAATTTCCTGTGTTTTATCAAATCTGTTTTTCCTAAAAATAAGAAGTTATAGATTATTATATTATATTAAAATACATATGTATAAAATGTACATGTATATCTTATGAGTTACAGTTTAAACTAAGTTTATTCGGATTGTTATCATTTTCAATATTTTACTTTGTAATATTAAAGTTTTTTTTTTTTTTATTTCGAAGAAATATATACAATTTGTTATTTAAAACAATAAGTAAATTTGATAAAATAATATATAACAATAACATGATTAATATGAGGAGGAAATTGTTCATTAACAACACCTCAAAATCAATATTAAAGTTAAGCTTATAAATACGGTTGTGGATTTTTTTTTAAGTTGTAAATTGCATTGTGTATTATTATATATTGATTTAGACGAAATATTTGGAAATCATGATAATTTAGAGTATCATATAAAGTTAAAATATTTTAGTCTTTAGTTGACACAAAGCAGTATATTGATTTTATTAGAATTTTTTTTTTTTTTTTTTTATATATAAACATTTTTCCGGTTGGTAAAACTGCCACCGAGAGTCTCGTGTATTATTTTGTACGATCGGAAATTAAACTTGGAAGGTACTTTAAAAGGTTTTTTTTTCGATTTTTGATTAGTTTTTCCAGCTATCGAAAAACCAACAAATACTATTGAGTTTAGTTGAGACATTCTACGAATAATTATATTATTAATAGTATAATATAATATATAAACATGTAATTTTTAAGTTAGAAATACGAAAAAATTATTATTTAATTAAAACTAATAATTTTCCTATCTATATTTTAAATATGATTTTTATTTAGATAAAATAAATTTGTACGTAATTTAGTGTTTAAGGACATGAGATATTTTTTTGTCAGCATTAACAATTGGATGATATCTATATTCTGAGACCTAACGTATCTGAGTTATGATTACAATAAAACATCTTCAATATCTATAAACATCTTACCGAATTTTAATAAGAATATTGTTTAGCATTGATTTTTCATTGATTTCAAATTTAAAAAATAAATGCCATTAACACAAAACGGTACGTATACAAAAAAATATTTTGAAGGGAGATAAAGGTATTTAAAGGTATACACTAAGTTATGATAACAAAAATTAAAATTAATTAACAAATACAGACAGAAAATATGATTTAGTTATCTTTACGAATCTAATATAATCTATTACATAGAAAAACTATTGATTTTAAGTACGTATATAAAAACATTTTCCAAAAATTTTGAGGTGATTCCAAACTTATATTCGTACGTATACGTACCTGAATATAACAATAAGGATTTAATCTTGGAACCAATAAACTTACTCAAGAGATTGATTCATATTTTCAAACATCTTATCAATGTGTAAAACTAATTTCCAGACAATTACAGACAAAATTACCACTTTCTGCAAAAATGACTAAAAGTACAATACTTATTAGTGTTTTAGTTGTAATTAGTTATGATAAATCAGAAAAATTTTATCCATGAACTATTTATTTTATACAATTTGAACAAATTGAACATAGTAACGTATCAATCAATGAATATTTTAACTTTAAAGTATTTTGTAAAAAATTAAATTATGAAGAAATTATACGATAAAAAATGTTTTTAGATGTCGTCTAGTTCATATATGTCTACTGCCGTGATGAGTCAACCATTCACAGTAACCAGTCATCATTCAAATCCGGCAGGAGCTTCTAATCAGTCTTCTATTACGACGCCTGCAGGTATACATAATAATCAACTTTAAATATGGATAATATTTGTTTGTTTGATGGGATTAATGAAAAACAATTAATGAACTTGTTATTTCCATTTTATTTATTTTTAATTTTAATCAATTTTTTTTCTTTAAATTTTAAACATGACAAAGTATATAAGATGGAACATTTAAAAAATAATATTTAATTAAATGTCCAAGTATTTATATTAACACATTTTAAATTATATATTTTTTATTAATCTGTTCTTATTTAACGTCATAAGAGCAATTTAATAACTTTATAAATTCCTCACGTTATTATAAGTATTTATACTATCAAATGTTATTGAAATTTTTCAATTTTTTTTTACAAGCATATGTAAAAATAATAAAAGATATTGTATAAAAAAGGGATTAATACTCGTAGAATGTATGATAAAATTGTAATTGACAGGAACTAAAATTATTTGTTGAAACACTGACTTCTTCTCTCGTATTATGTAGTAAGGTGTCAAAGAAATTTTAAATATACTATTTCTTTTGCTATTAATTTTACAGACTTCGAACTCAAATATTTATTAAATAAAACTAAATTTTATATCAAAAAAAGAGTTCTACTGTCAAAATAAATATTAATAAGTAATAGTCATAATATATTCTAAATATATTAAGACAAAAACGTACACGTTATCAAATGTATAGTATACTCTAAATCTATATATACATGTATAAAACATAAACATTGTTTCTACCTATATCCACTATAGATTTTGAAATCATTCAACCGGTATGTTCCAAATCAGTTTCATTAAAAAGGCAATAATGCAAAAATGGTTTTAGACCACTAAAACAATGTAAACAATGTAAACACATTCAGTCTACTTATGAAGTTGCTTTTCGACTTCTCCCGTTAAAAAATTTCCAGAATTTTGAAATTTCTATTTTTATATACTTAAATTTTTAAATTATATATATATATATATATATATATATATATATATATACTCGTATACACGATAATTCTACATCTATTCGGTTAAAACATAGGAATTATATATTAATAAGACTCAACTATAATCTAAAATAACAATAATTTATATTAATATTCTATTACATTATTTTATATAATATATAATAAAATACTAAGGAACTAGACTTTTCAAAAAATAAAATCTAAATGAATACCTATTAAGTAACGAATAATTTTTTATTCGGTTTTCAGGAATGATGCCCGAAGAAGACTGGTACAATAAAAGTTTATCAGCATTGCGGATGAACTCTGGCCACCATCCAAACCTCACTACTCCAATGTTACAATACCAGACATAGAGTTGCTGTGATAATAGATACATAATAATATACCGTATGATTATTTATTTATAATAATTACTACGATAATATTATTACTACGGGCTGAATGGGCCACATTTTTAAAATCCCACGCCATTATTATTATTATTATTATAACTGTGAATTATATCTTCAATAGAATAATCTTTGATATCTTGAAACTCTTTTTGCTGATTTGTGTACAAAATAATGTAGGATTTCCTTTAATATCTATCTAATTTAATTATAACCGATTGTAAGTAAATATTTTATTTTATTTTTTATTTATTTATTTTTTTTTTTTGAGAATTTTTGTTTTTTTTTTATCACCTCTGAAATTCTTTGAAAATTTAATATTATAGGTGTCTATACGGTTTTTTCGATTTTTACGATTGATTACTAATATTGAAAATATATAAAAACTATAATATAGTACTGTAAACGTAAATGTAAATATACACATTTTAATTATATAACAATAATACGTTGATGTGTGTATCTTTTTTATTTATTTTTTACCATATTTCTACTTTTAAGTGAAATATAATGTTAAAATTTAATTTTTTTTAATTTTAAATTAACTGTACAAAAAAAAAAAAAAAAAAAAAAAGAATAATTAAACAAGACTTATTAGTTAGTACATCTGATAGATTATCATTGAATAAAATAAATTAGTGTTAATAAACTTTACATTGAGGAAGGACGAATTCAGGAAATGCTCTACCTCATACTTATGGGTTAGTGTAATGGTATGTAATTTGGATTAGATCAGTTCGCTGTACATGATTTGCGTCCCAAAATCCCTTTTCCACATAAACTGCGTCCAAACAAAGTTTAATGACTACACAAATTGTGTCCCAACGTTAAAACATTATTTTCCTTTCCATTTCATACCGACATAGGACTGTTGTTAGCAAATTATGACTATTGGTAAATTAAAAATATTGATTTTTATTGTTGTTATGCAATTAGAAATAAATAAAATTAAAATGTGTAGCTTTAAATTATAAAAATGTAATATAATAATTAAAATAAATAATAATACAAAAACTTATTAATACATATAAAACTAAAAAAAAACTGGTGAAAATTTAATTATCATCAAAAAGGGATAATTACTTCACTGACCCTGGCACCACAAAGTAAAAATGTTGGGGTCAAAATGGTTTCACAAATTAGTGACCAAATTTTAATAATTCGAAATCTCAAATTTCAAATTTGTAACTTAAATATAACCGCCCAAAATCAATTTTCTATTTGCGATTGCCAGTGTCAGTTTATTCCAGCACCCGAGACTCGAAAAAACGTCGTATAGTGTCCGTTTCGATATTAACGATAAGTAACCGATTCCTAATAATTCATAACCACAAATTTGTAATTTAAGTATAATTTACCCCAGGAATTATTCTAAAGCGCCGTTGGATTATTTTGCGTACTTTGATAAGCTAGATACGCATTTCATAATTAGTTTTTGTGTAATTGATTTTTTATATTTTATTGCCACATTAATAAGATGAAAATTAACAGTTATTCCTATAGGTATTAATGTGTCAAGTGTTTTTGCAATAAGAAAATTATTGTATAAAGTAGCCACACACTTTCGGTTTTTGATCGATATACAGTGTTCGAATCACAGAACTACAACGAACACTGTACACTGAAAGTGGAATAAAGTTAACAAAAAGATGTTCTAACATCATTTAAACTAGGTATGTTCATCAGTTTTTTGTGTCCTATAGGTACTATAAATTACTTAAATTTTAATAAAATAAATCTTTATAGTTTTGTTATGATAATACAACAAGTATTAAGAATGCGTGAGATATTTAGTAGTAACAGTGATCGTGATCATACTGATCATATATTTACAATGATAACAACATTTTTTTTTTATAAAAGTTCACATCTCACGTCTTTAATTTTTTCGAATAATTTTTTTTCCGTGACGACTGACACGTCTAACAATAGACTATAGTTATCTAATTCTATCTTATTTTTTTCTAAAGGCTTAGCCTTGTCATAGTTAGAAAATAGATCTCCACTCCTCTCCCTTGAATGCCAGAGTCTTCATATTTGAATACCCGCTACATTCAGCCATTCCAATCATCTCTCCTATGAATGTATTTCTCGGTCTTCCTCTTCCTTAGCGTCCATTGATTCTTCCTTACATTATATTGATTAAGAAAGGGTTATGTCTCAAGAAGGGTCGTAAGTTTTCCGCTTCTTTATCTAATAATGGATAATAAAACTCTCTTCTCCTCTACTATTTGAAGAATTTCTTCGTTGTTCTTCCTTTCCGTCCAACTAACCAACTAATACGAAGTACTCTTCTCCAGGTCCACATTTCTATTGCTTCGATTTTTTTTTTATCTTATAATGTTAAGGTCCAGGGTTTGCTGCCATACAACAAAACACTCTATACGTAGCTTTTGGTAAAGTTTTTTCTGGTTTTAAGACTAAGATTCTTGTTCGTAAGTATCGTTTTTTTTGTCTGAAGGCTCTCTTTGCCATGGTTATTTAATGTCTTATTTCTATCGAACATCTACTGTCACTCGTTAATATACTTCCTAAATATATATATTTTTGTACCTGATCAATTATATTGTTATTCAATTTTTTTTTTTGAAAACGAGGACTTTGCTCTCTTTAATTACCACAATGAATTTTGTTTTCCTTATATTAATCTTCATAAGGTATCGTTTAAATATTTCATTAAATGTAGTTAGCGTTGCATATCCTTCGCTGTTTCTGTTACCACAGCAATATCATCAGCAAATCTGATACAATGAATTACCTTTCCATTTATTTTTACACCTTTAGCTTTGCCTTTAAGTTCCAAAACAACTTCTTCTATGAATATATTGAATAAATAGGGTGAAAAAGAACAGCCTTGTCTTATCTCTCTATGAATTCTTGCTGTGGATACGCAGTCTCCTATTTTAATTATTGTTTTTTGGTCTTTATATAGTTCCATAATATTTTTTCTGTCTCTCCAATCCAGCCAGTTCTTTTCAAGGTGATCATCAACATGCAAGGCTGAGCATTAATGAGTTAAAAGTTAAAATTAAGTTAAAACGTTAAGTTAATTTTAATTAAGTTAATTAACTCGTTACTTTTTTTCAAATTAACTTTTAACTTAATAAGTTACTTTTTTTTAAGATTAACGTGTTAACTTTAAGTTAATTTTATTTAAAAGTATCTAAATTAAGTTAATTTTAGTGCAAAAAATAATGCAAATCACTAACCTGTCGCTGGTCGCGTGATTTTTTTTGTCTACATTTGGTCATTTAAAATAAACGTTCAGTTACGCGGGGTAAATATTCTCCAAACAGATAAATTTTTCTTTACACGGGTGTGTACAACGAACTAAACTAGTTTTCAACGAAATAAATGTCATTATCGAATAATAGTGTGATTTTGATGAGCTACTTTGAATTAAAAATCTGTTTTGCATACAATGAAGTGAATACACATATTTATTAAAAATAACTTTAATAGTCATTATATGGGTTATATTTTATCATTATATTTTTATAAAATTGTCATTGTATAAACACTATAAACCCATGGAAATCCTAAGAATATTCTGTGAAAATAGTAAATACCATGAGAGCGAGTATCGATGTGGGATTAATCACAAAACAACTATGGTATAATTTCCAATATTATTTCATTATTCAACTAACATGTGTTTTGTTCACATCACGTTAGAATTTATAATATATTGTTATTAGTTTATTATTTTATTAGCTTATTATATTTCTGTGAAAATTTATTATTTCTTTATTAAATATTTTATTTTTTTTAACTACAATGTCTGAAGACCATTTGAAGCGGTCTTATTTAAAAACTCATTTCGAACAACAACTATTAACATCAGATAAAACTGAAAAAAAAAATCGAATTTTACATTCAAATGCATTCTATGCATGCGAACAATAAAATTGATATCAACTTCTATAAGTTCAAATTAACATTTGTTTTATTTTTATCTAAAAATATAATACAAAGTAATTATGTTTTGACTGAAAATAATTGTCCATGTTTTGCTGAGCCCAGTCTTTTGAACTACACGGTGGCTGTATATTATCTACTCAGTATAGAAAATATATTTGGGTAGTAGGTACTGTCTGTTTGATTTTCAAAATTTGTTTGAATCAATTAAAAATATTGGTATCTTAGCAGTTTATTTTTTTTGATAGAAAACTATCAATGGTTTTTTTTTTTTTTAATTTTTGGATGTGCCACTTTGGTAAATTTATTTGAGTATGAGTTCAGGACTAAGATTTATTTTAAAAAAATAGGTTTTTTATAGCTAGTTAATAATTTTATGTATCATTTTAAATTTCTCCAGTAATTTTCTTGAGCGTAAAAAAACTAATATTATGTGTGCAATTTTTTATTTTTGTAAATTAGAAAATTTTAACTTTAAATTAAGTATTATTATTATTTTCAAAGTTAACTTTTAACTTAAAGAGTTAAAAAAAAATCGTTAATTTGCCCAGTCTTGTCAATAAGTTCCAATTTACGGTGTCGAATGCTTTTTCTAAATCGATAACCCCTATATATGTATTTCTATTTGTACTAAGCTTTCTTTCTGCAATCGTTCATAAAGCTAAGATAGCTTCTCTGGTACCTATTCCTTGTTTAAATCCAAAATGATCTTCTCCCAGATTTATTTCCGTTTTCTTCCATATTCTATATTTTATAATGTTCAAAAGTATTTTTGAAGTATGTGTAAGGAGGCTGATAGTTCTATAGTTGTTGCATTCGGTAGGGTTTCCTTTTTTGGGAATAAGTATAGTTCTACTTTGTGTAAAATCTTTTGGTATTTACCTTCTCGGTAAGTTTTTTCTACCATTTAAATAAAACATCTCTCGTTTCTTTCCCTGAATGCTTCTACAATTCGGCTAGTATTTCATCTATACCTGATTGTAATATTCGGTTCCGGTAGCCCGGTATGGGAACCGCTGATTAAAAAAATAACCGGGTGTCAATACATTTAAATTGGTAGAATCAAGGGAAATAGGAATCAAAGGACACGAATTTAAGCAAGCTTCTATGCGCACCAACACGGTATTCAATTCTTCGTAAGTTAAAGAAATATTTTCTAGGTGCCTTGTTAAGTGAAATTTAATTGATTTTTAACGGCTTATTAACGGCTTCCTAAAGTCCGCGGAAATGAGGAGCTCTAGGGGGAGTAAATTGTCATATTACTTCTACTTCCGTGACTATACAAGCTCTATATG